CAGGGTGCTCCTTAGAGGCAGGGAGAGTGAAACTTCATCTTAGATACTTTGGACATTTTCAGAAAGGACCAGTCCTTGGAAAAAGACCTCATGCTGGGAAAGGTGGAGGGTCAGCAAAAGAAAGGATGACGGGCATGAGATGGACTGACACATGACTTAACAATGGGTTCAAGCATGATGAAGATCATGAGGCAGACGGGAAGATTTCAATTTGTTGCTCATGAAGGTTGGCATGAGCCATAATTGACTTGACGGCACACAACAACAACAGATTCTGATTCATAATGACACAGACTTGAGAGCTGCTTTCAGGTGCTTGCAACCATTCATTCACTCAGTGCATATTCACGAAATATACTCTGTTTGAACCTTGCCACAGCTCCATCACCTTCTCCCCTTGTATCTGCCACTTTGAACTGAGTACTAGGACTATACGTCTGGAGATGAGAGATTAATTCTGTTCTCCAAGACCTTTTGTGGAATTAGAGAAAAAACAGTTAGATACTGTCATGCACCTTAAAAGTTTTCAAGAGAGCTAACGAGCTGAGGGTGACCTCCTGAAAGCAAGCCTTTGAAACTGGAATAGTGAATGACACCACATCAAATATAGAGTGAGCATTCTGCCCACACATAGCTGATATTATGTTTATATATGGATCAGAGGAGAGAAAGGGGGGTTACTCCTGACATTGTTGTAGTAACTTATCATTTAAAAAATGTTCTCATTGTTATCACCTTATTTGGTTCTTGATATGATCTTTGATATGGGAAATTCTATTATTTTTCGCATTTCACAGTTCAAAAAAATAGTGAGTCATAAAACATAGTGATTCGCACAAAAATATACTGATACTGCCAAGTGGTGAGACAGAGCCTCAAGTCAGGTATCTTGTTTCTAAGACCAATTCTCTCTTCCTTATGTTTAAAATAATCAGTAAGAAATCCTGGAGGTGCAAATGGTTAAACATCACCTACTAACCGAAAGATTGTCGTTCATATCCACCCAATATTTCACTGAGAGAAGACCTGCCAATCTGCTCCCAGAAAGATTACCATTTAGGAAATTCTATAAGGCAATTCTACTCTGTCACATGGGTACAACACAGGCCCAAATCCACCAGAAGTCACCCAGTAACAACATAATGATCAACATCTAAATGTGTGGCAAGTGGAGTAACCCACATGCATGCTCCTGTGGACCACCTCCTCTATCACCCAAACCCTAGACACCTACCTTCTAGCTACCACTTTGAGATGAGAATTGAAGAAAGAAAGAAAAAGGTAGGAGATTACAAAGGAAGGTGGTGGCCCTCCTCTCAATAGAAGTTAATTATTCTTCCAAAGATCTGCCTAATCCCCATGAGGCATATGCTCCTAGCTTCAAGAGAAGACTCCTAATAAGAGCTTACACACGGGAGCTCAGGTACCATAGCATGATCCATAGGGAATCGCACTGCTAACCCAAAGGCAACACCTCCCTGGGGATTTGAACTTACCAACTGCTCCTAGGGAGAAAGATGATCAATCTCCTCTCATTGGATTTACAGCGTTCCAAAAACCTGCTGGAGAGTCAGCTGTGAGTTGGCTCTTAACAGCAATGAGTTTGAGGATTTTTTTTTACAGTCACACAGAAAGGAGCCCTGGTGGTGTAGTGTGTAGGATATCAAGATGCCAGCAGAAAGTTTCATGGTTCAAATCTACTAGCCACACCATGATATAAAGATATGACGTCTTGGAAACCCAGTGTAGGGTTTGTAGGAGTCAGAACTGACTCAACAGTAGTGCGTTTGGTTTGGAGATTAGCCATACATAAGTGGTTTCCCAAAATTTGGAAACTGACCATAATAATGGTTAAACAAGATGATAAATATAACTAATGTACTGAACCATTCATGGGAAGAATGTTGAAAAGACAAACTCTGTATAATAAAAAGAAAAGTTTGTGGTTCCCAAACGCCTGACCAAAAGCCCCCGATGATGCTCCTTCCCAGAGAAGAAGTGGAAGTGGAATTCATAACAAGATGATGATAAGCAGGGAGTGCCTCTCCAAGGCCAGGACCCTAGAGAAGGGGCTAGTCGGAAATTACAGGGAGGATAGGGCTGGGGTAACTCCAACATCTGCCTGGCTTTGCTGATCTTAAACTGAAATGGAAGTTTGAGTTGACCTGAGGAAGAAATCTTGATCTGTATCTACGTCTTTCTCCTGTTAGAGTGGCTGAGTGCTTAATCTGTGCAACACCAAAGTTCTTTAAAACAACAATAGCTATCATAAATATATACAGATTGAAGCTCAACATCAAGAAACCAAAGATTCTCACACTGAGCTGATTGGCAGCATCATGATAGATGATGAAGAGATTGAGATTGTTAACAGTTTCAACTTGCTTGGTCCACAATCAGCACTCTTGGTTATCAGCAGCCAGGAAATTAAAATATGAATTACACTGGAAAAAATTTCCAATCAGGGACCTCTCCAGAGTACTAAACAGCAATGCCGTCAGACTAGAGACTAGGTGTGCCTGATCCAGGCCACGGTCTTCACAATTACTTACCATGCATCAGAAAGCTGGACAAATACTAAGGATTATAGAAGAATTGATGTCTTTGAGCTGTGGTCTGGATAAGATTATTGACTATACTATGGACTGCTAGAAGAACAAACAGGTTCGTCCTGAAGAGAGTGAAATTAGGCTGCTCCTTGGAGGCAAGGATTTTGAAGTTTCATCTGATATACTTTGGGCATGTTGCAAGGAGGGACTAGTCCTTGGAGAGGGATGTCATGCTTGGGAGGGTGGAGAGACAGTGCAGGTGAGGAAGACCCTCAATGAGATGGGTTGACTCAGTGGCTGGAATAATGAGGGTAGGTGTGTCAGAGACAATTAAACTGAGCAGAGTTCAGAGCTGTTGTATATAGGGTCACTGTGAGTCACAAGTGACTTGATGGTATTTAATAACAGCATGCCGGTCTTATCAGCAAGTACTTTACATAAATGTGCTCATGTGAAACCTAGACCTAGACTAGAAGGCCATTTTATGAACAGAGCAGGGGAATACAGCATGGTTTAAAATAAAGAAATGTGTGCATCAGGGCTATATTCTCTCTCCACACCTATATTCAATCTGTATGTAGAGCAAACCATCTGGGAAGCTAGACTCTCTGAAGAAGAATGCGGCATCAGAAGTAGAAGGTGGCCCATCAATAACTTGTGTTATCCAGATGACACAACCTTGCTAGCTGAAAGTAAAACAGACCTGACACACTTGCAACAGAGGATCAAAGACTCCATCCTTCAATATGGATTATTTCACAACACCAAGAAAACAAAAATCCTCACTACTGGACCAATAGGTAACATCATGGTAGATGGAGAGAAAATTGAAGCTGTTAACAATTTCATCTTACTAGGATCCCTTGACAACAGCAGTCAAGAAATTTAAAAAAAAAAAAAAAGAGGAGTGTTGGAGAAGTGTGAAGTCAGGTACTTCTCCAATGTACTGAGGAGCAGTAATGTCAGTTTGAGGATTCCAATGTGCCTGATCCAAGTTATGATCTTTTCAATTGCTTCTTATGCTTTCTATGCTGGACAATGACTAAGTATGATAGTAGAAAAATGCATTTGAATTATGGTGTTGGAGAAGAGTGCTGAATATCCCATGGACTTCCACGAAACCAAGTATGCCTTGGAGATTGTGTACTCTGGGTGCTCCTTAGATGATAGAATGCCATCTCACATACTTTGGGCATATGCTTAGAAGAGCCAGTCCTTAGAAAAGGATACTGGGCTTGGAAAGGTGTAAAGTCAGAGAAAGAGCCTCAATGAGATGAACTGACATAGTGGCTGGAGCAATGGGCACAGTATAGCAGGGATGGTGGGATGATGCAGAAGAGGGCAGGGTTTGGCGCTACTGCTCATAAGGTCGCTAGGAGGCGTGGTTGAGTTGAAGGCACCTAACACCCACAACAACAATCCTATTCACCAGCAGCTCTAAAGGAGAAAGATGGGCAATCCAGCCCCCCCTCCCCGCCCTGTGCAATTCACAGACATGGCGATCTAGTGGGTGGTCAGCTATGAGTTGGTGCCTGCTCAACTGTGACATGCTCATTTAATAAGGCCCCGAGTGGCAATAGGTCACCATCAACCACTAATCTGAAGGGAGTAGTTCAAACCCACTTAGCCGTGCCACAAAAAAAAAAAAGACCTAACACTCCTCTTTATTAAAAATTGTAGCCAAGAAAATCCTATGACGCTGTTCTGCTCTCTAAAGCATGGAGCCATTGTGGGTCAGAATCAGGTCGACACTAATGGGTTTGACTTTCTAGCTTTACTTCAGCTCAAAAATAACCCTAGTTGTTTCCAGATGAAGAAAGAGTTTCAGGTGCAGGTATCTTAAGAAATTTGTTAAAAACAATGCCAACTACTCACCATCCTTTCCTTGGTTTTTATTCCCTACAGAATCCTAACTGGATTCATGTATCTGCCCCTTTTACCTCACCACATGAGCCAAGACAGTGGGTGAAGATGAGAAAATGCTGGATTTTAGATATATTCTAAATATATAATAAAAAAGATGTGTGAAAGATTGGATGTTGGGTGTGAAAAAGATATTAAAAATGGGACTGGGCATGGGAAAATGTTGAGTAGATGAAGAAACTTCATACACACACAGATTTTTGCCATTTATTATTAAGAAACTTTAATTTTTTTGACCCTTCCCTACCAACTTGTCAAGACCTTTCTTTGTTAGAAAGTTCATCTCAAATCCCTGTCAGGCTTTGTCTACAAAATGTCTTCTGGTTATTTGTGTAGGCAGATGCAAGAAGTGGGGGACAAATGGGTTTAAAGGGGAAAAATGTTGCCAAAACAACCATGAGGCTCCTTGCCAAGCTAAAAGCAGGTCAGGTTTCAATCCCTTGATGGACTCATAACTGAGAGTCAGCTGTTCCTAATAATGAACTTCTTCTCCACAGCTTACAGCAGGCAGGGAAGGCTGGGTCTTCATGCTGCCTCCCTGACTCCCCTAGGATGGATGTGTGTGGCTGGAAAGAAATGGAGGTTGCTCTGGTCAATTTTGATAACTCAGACGAAATCCAGGAAGAACCCGGTTATGCCACAGACTTCGATGCAACCAGCCCCAAAGGCCTGCCTGGGAGCAGCCCTTTCTCCAACTGGAAGATCCTCATCAGTGACAGTACTAGCCATGAGACCACCTTTTCCAAGCCTCCTGAAGACTATGTCGACGCTCCAGGGCCGGAGCCAGTGGTCTTGAATGAAGGAAGCCAGCGGGTGATCATCAACATTGCAGGACTGAGATTCGAGACCCAACTCAGAACCCTCAATCAGTTCCCAGAGACTCTGCTGGGAGACAGGGAGAAAAGGATGCAGTTCTTCGACTCCATGAGAAATGAGTACTTCTTTGACCGGAACCGGCCCAGTTTTGATGGAATCCTGTATTATTATCAATCTGGTGGGAAAATCCGGCGCCCAGCCAACGTCCCCATCGATGTCTTTGCAGATGAGATCTCCTTCTATGAGCTGGGCAGTGAGGCCATGGATCAGTTCAGAGAGGATGAAGGCTTCATCAAAGACCCAGAAATCCCCCTCCCCACCAACGACTTCCACCGGCAGTTCTGGCTCCTCTTTGAGTACCCCGAGAGCTCCAGCGCTGCCCGAGGAGTGGCCGTGGTCTCGGTGTTGGTTGTGGTCATCTCCATCACCATCTTCTGCCTAGAGACTCTCCCAGAGTTCCGGGAGGACAGGGAGCTGAAGGTGGTCAGAGACCCTGGCCTCAACACCAGCAAGACAGTGCTCTCCCACACCATGTTCACAGACCCTTTCTTCATGGTGGAGTCCACCTGCATCGTGTGGTTCACCTTTGAGCTGGTGCTCAGGTTCGTGGTCTGCCCCAGCAAGACAGACTTCTTCAGGAACATCATGAACATCATTGACATCATCTCCATCATTCCCTACTTCGCCACTCTAATCACAGAGCTGGTCCAGGAGACAGAGCCCACTGCTCAGCAGAACATGTCCTTGGCCATTCTGAGGATAATCCGCCTGGTGAGGGTCTTCCGCATCTTCAAGCTCTCCCGCCACTCCAAGGGACTGCAGATCCTGGGGCAGACGCTGAAGGCGTCCATGAGGGAGCTGGGGCTGCTCATCTTCTTCCTCTTCATCGGAGTCATCCTCTTCTCCAGTGCAGTCTACTTTGCGGAGGTGGATGAACCAGAGTCCCACTTCTCCAGCATTCCTGATGGCTTCTGGTGGGCAGTGGTCACCATGACAACCGTGGGCTATGGTGACATGTGTCCAACCACCCCCGGGGGCAAGATCGTGGGCACACTGTGTGCCATTGCAGGAGTTCTCACCATCGCCCTCCCCGTGCCTGTCATTGTCTCCAACTTTAACTACTTCTACCACAGGGAGACTGAGAATGAGGAGAAGCAAAACATTCCAGGAGAAATTGAGAAAATCCTCAACAGTATGGGCTCAAGAATGGGCAGCACAGACTCTCTCAGTAAGACCAATGGTGGCTGCTCTGCAGAGAAGTCCAGAAAGTGATCTGTCGGCTAGCCCTAAGCTTCTTGGGTTTTAGCAAGCTAGCTGGCTACCTACCTGTTTCTTTCTGGCCCTCTCTCCTTCTGCTGCCTCCTTCCCTCCTGTTTTCTGAGGACCAAAACGTGTCTTTTGTGAACAAGAAGACATTTTTTACTGCAAATTTTTAATAAAAACTATACTTACGCTGTATTTTCTAAACTCCCTCCCTCAACCAGTTATGTTGGTGTTGTGTGCTCTCAAGTGAAAACCGATCTATAGCTGAACCTCCAGCAGATTTTAAGAGCAGTAAACTGCACAGGAGGAAATTGCCCACTATTCTCCCATGGAGCCGCTGGTGGATTCAAACCACATGCCTTTGTAATCACACTGTTGTTGTTGTTGATTGCCATCGAATCGAGCACAACTCACAGCAACCCTATGAACAAAAGACATGAAGCCTTTCGATAGCTATCATTTCTCAAAGTTCATAGAGTTTCCAGAGGCATGTTGTTTAGGAAGTGGATGCTGCATAGAAAGATTTTATTCTCCATTCCTGGATTGAGTAATCCAGACACTTGCTATCTAGCATGGTTCTCAGATCGGCAGTGACTGACTGTAGCACCTGGGAGTTTAGAAATGCAGAATCTGGGACCCTCCCACCTGAGACCAAAATCAGAACCTACATGTTAACAAGATCCCAGGTGATTCATCTTCACAATAAAGATTAAGAGCGGATAATGACCATTGCATTGGAACAGATGAAAGAAAGAACTATCTTAAATGAATATATGATTAGATATTATACATATGACAACAGCCCAGAATAAGAGATTTGTCATTGCGGGGAGGACTGGGGGGTGGGGGGAGGGAGAAGACAGGTAATTGTGCAACAATAAATGAATTAATTTTTTAAAAAATGAACTGAAGAAGGGGGAAGGGAGGGTGAGTGGGTAAAATGTACAACAATGAATGAATGAAAATTTAACTTCTCTGTAAATGTTCATTAAAATCACAATTAAAATAAAATTTTATTTAAGAAAAGAAGCATTAGTTTAGGTCTTCCTTAGAGGAAGAAGATGAAGGGTAACTATGAACAATGAGTAGGAACTCAGATGTCTAAGCTAAGTAATGACATGCATCCCTGGGAGGCACAGACAGTGCTGAACTTCTTACAGCAAAGTTGGCCGTGAATTGATCTCAACACTAGCTAGCCACACCTGTGAAGCACTGCAACAATTTTCCAAAGTGCTTTCACGTACATTATCTCACTACACCTCAGAATAGGGAGCAAGACGGAGAGGATTATTATGCCCACATTCCAGATGAGCAAACCGGGGCAGAGCAATTTGTTGAAGGTCACCCAGAAACACTGATACAGCCAATCCTGGGACCTAAATCTAGCTTCTAGTCAGATGCTCTTCCCACTAAGGAATTGTATGGGATTGAGGGCAGGGAAGGGGTAGAGGGTTTGAGTCTGTCAGGAAACAGGCAACACAGGTCTGGGAAGGGGGTGGGGGGATCATCTTCCTGGCGGTCCCAGGATCTCAGCATAGCCTGGGGAAATAGATTCTGCCTGGCCCACTTGTGTTGCCATATTCATCCCTGGAGAATGAAGAAGTAAAAACATTGTCACATGTTTTTCACCTGGCCTACCTCCGTGGAGTTAAGCAAAGAACAGGGATCCTTAGTGTAGATATGCATACATACAGGAAAACTGACACACTCACCTGCCTTGAAAGTCACATCTCACTGAACTGTCAGGAACTGATCTTCAAAGACTGTGGAGAAGCTTCATAGGAACAGCAAGACCTGGGAGCATCACCCAGAGGTCAGTCTTACCTGAGGCGGGTTGTGACTAGGTTGAACAATGAACTGCCCCCCTGGGAGAGAAGGCTGCTCATTCCACCCTGCTCCCAAGACAGGAGATCTAATTGGAATTCCCAAAAAGGTAAAGAAAGAAGCCTCTCACAACCCCTCCTCAATTCACCCCCTCAGCTGAAGAGGACCTGTGCCTTCCTCAGGCCCAATATTCAACACCTGGTCACATTACAAAGGTGATTAAACATCAGAAGAATGCCCAGGGTCACAGGTTACTGCAACTCCACAAACCCAAACCACATGACCCAGAGCATATTGGCTATATGCCAACTCCGTGCAACCCTGCATGACACAATGCTCTAACTGTGTAACCGTAGCTGCCCACAGCAGGCATTAGGAAGCAAGACAACCTCCCATCACCTCCTGTCCATAAAAACCTAACAAAGGGACCGTGAGAGAAGCTGTTTTCTTTTTATACTCAGTCTATGCTCCAAGAAACAAGGTTAGTAATTTCTGATTCTTGTTCTAATGATCTTAATTTTTTTTTACACTCTAACCCCAGAATTTAATTTAGCCTCATCATGCAAATATTTAAATAAGCTTCATGCAGTGCTCCTGTTTGAGGCTCTGGGCCTCAGGTACCCTGGGATTTGGAGTGTTTTTCTCCTAGTTGTTTTAGTTTTTACTATTTTAATTTTATATTAGTTTGCATACAAAATTCATATGCATTGTGGTTCATCTATATACACTGTGTTTCACACATTCCTGTGTTCATATTGCATTTTGTAGGATCATTTCCATACATTATGTTTTATAAAATGAATCACCTTTGATCCATGTCCACCATTACCCCACCTTTTCATGTCCCCACTGGATCATAGTTTTCAAGTCCCTTACTTTTTTGTCCCTTTGGACACTCTGCAAATCTCTACCCACTCTTCACTTCCGATAAGAGTTCCCAGACTCACACCTATGGACTCACCCTGAAGTCCTGGCTCAGCCCAACTCAAGGTGAGTGGCCTAGTAAGCTGATAGCTCCCACTCACTAGCATGTTAAGGAGCTCAGGAGTCATAGTCTGTAGGGTTGTGCTACTAACCCCTACTGGAAACCAGCCATCAAGACGAACAGGGTTGGGTTGACGAGGAGTGTGAACTGAAGAAATATATCACACAAGGGATAGGTTAGGAGAGGCGTACAGTATAATACTGTAGCCCCGAGTTTATTCTCTTCTGTCCTTTTATCTTGTTTTTTCAGTGAACAGAAAAACAACCCAACCTCAAGGCCGACAATCTATTTTGTCTTTCATATCCTCGCTTAGCCCTAGGGTTCAGGAAACGGTCAAACCTATTTTTGTACTGAGAACAGCAGTTTCTCTTCTTGGAATATCTGGCCATTTCCTTATAATACAGCTGATTGCTTCCTTATATCTTTTACTTAATAATTTTCCAATGCTATATGAAGCTTTCAATGTGTCTTTATTAAAGGTTTCCCACAAACCTCAAAGTCCTGCCTCTCTGGTAGTTCAATTACATCAGCAGCTCCTTGGGAGAAAGACGGATGATGGAAAGTCAGCTATGAGTCATGGCAACAAATGAGTCAGCATGTTGTTTGTTTTTGCAAAACTTCACAGATTTGAATGCCAGAATAGTGATGGCACTCTAATTTAGGCAGTTGTTATTTTTGTGGGTTTTTTATTTTATTTTATTATTTATGTGTGTGTGTACCATCAAATCAGATCTGACTGGTACAGGAGGAAATTGCCCCTACTTCTCCAGCAGAGCATCTGGTGGATTCGAACCATGTACCTCTGGGATTACAGTGCAGCTTCTTGCCACTAGGCCACCAGCGCGCCCTGGGAGATGCTATTTTTTAAAGGCACAGGGGCCTTGCCAAAATTTTGCAAGAACATCACTGCATGTGGGGTGACCTTGACAAAAATTCCCATATGCCTACATTCTTCTATCTGGGAGTCCCTCATCAGAACTCTTTACACTTAAACTTCTCAAGTATGTAGGACCTCTGCTCCTCACATAAGTCCTTGGAGGTAAATTTTGTTACCCTCATTGAAAGGAGGAAAGTGGTTCAGAGAGGTCAAAAGTACACAGTCAGTAAGCAGTTGGGAAGGGATTTGAACCATAGTGTTAATCATAGGGTTTCACAATTAAATAGGTGGGTGGGGTGAAGGTATTTGGAAGGATCTTTTGTGAAAAACAATGTATTCAAACTTTGTAAAGAAATCAGAATAGAAGTTTGTTGGTTGTTGGGTTTTTTTTTAAAAAAAAGGAGATGGAAGGAATACACAGAACTACTGTATCTGTATGATGGGATACCAACTGACAAGCTCTTAATAACAGATGCAGCTCTGGATGTGCTCACCAGTCTGTGCCAGGAAATTTGAAAGGCGGCTCCCTGGCCTACTGATGGGATCCGTATTTGTTCCCATTCCCAAGAAAGGTGATCCAAAAGAATGTGGAAATTATTGAACAATATCATTAATATCACACGCAAGCAAAATATTCCTAAAGATCATCCAAAATTGGTTGGAATCATACATTGACAGACAGCTGCCAGAAATTTAAACTAGGTTTAGAAGAAACTGTGGCACCAAGGATATTGCTGATGTTAGATGGATGTTGGCTGAAAACAGAGAATATCAGAAGAATGTCTACTTGTGTTTAATTGACTATGCAAAAGCATTTGATTGTGTTATAACAAACTATGGTTAATCTTGAGAAGATTGGGAATTCCAGAACACTTAATTGTGCTGGCACAAAATCTATAATTGGGGAAGGTGTGAGTCAGGACGGTATCCTCCCTCCATACTTATTCAATCTATATGCTGAGAAAACCATCCAAGAAGCTGGATGTTATGAAAATGAGTATGGCATCAGGATTGCAGAAAGACTCATCAACAGCCTTTGCTATGCAGATGACACAACCTTGTTAGCTGAAAATGAGGAGGGCCTGAAGTGTTTGCTTCAGAGGATCCAGGATTGTAACCTTCAATAATGATCACATCTCAATATCAAGAAAATAAAAATCCTCACCATAGGACTGATAGGCAACATCATGAGAGATGGAAAAAAGACTGAAATTATCAATTATTTCCTCTTGCTTGGATCCACAGTCAACATCTTTGGTACCAGCAGTGAGGAGGTCAGGAGACATATAGCATTGGGAAAGTCTGCTCACCAAAGTCCTGAAGAGTAACGATTCCAGCCTAACAGT